TTCAATAAACTAGGATACCCTACAATAGTCAAATGTGATAATACTCCATTCGCGTCAGGGGAATTTCATAAATTTGCTAGTAGCCATAACATTGTTATGAGGTTCTCAAGTCCTCGATACCCTCAGAGCAATGGATTGGCGGAAAAGGGCGTTGCGATTGCGAAAAATATTCTTAAGAGGTGTTTTGAGGCTAACGAAACAAAACAATATCAGTACCGAATTCTCGAATATAATACCACACCAGTGGCAAGCATGCAACTGGCCCCGGCCCAATTGTTTTTCGGAAGAATGATAAAATCGCGAATGCCAGTGTCCGAAGCACTGTTGTTTAGAACCAATTTAAGTGAGGAAATTGTAGAAAAGAAGCTTAAAAGAAAAAAGGAACAACAGAAATATTATTGCAATCGGAACGCAAAAGCATTGCCAGTACTGAAAAGGGGTGATGGGGTAATATTTAGAAAGGATAATAAGAAATGCATGTACGGTAAAATTTGTGAAAATATTAACAATTGATCTTATATTATTGAAGATAACTTTAATAATTTTTTTAGACGCAACCGAAGGTTCATTTCTAATCTAAAAACAATGATATTAATACCAGTGACATGTTGTTTGAAGATAATGTAATTTCAAAGAGTCCTAAACAAACATAAATATTCCACCTTCTGTGCGTGGCAACAGTGGTACCGAAGACCCTAGTTGTGAGGTGGATGAGCCTATCCTACCAGTGTTGGACAATAGTATGCCATCAGCTGAGGATCTGAAGCAGAGACAGTAAGCGATAATTCACCCAGGTCGCTAACCGTAGGTGATAATAATGTGTGCTTATCAAGAAGTGGGCGGGTGATTCGGCCACCGCAAAGGTACGGCTGGGATGATTAATTTGGTGACTTACCTATATTTATAAATTATGGCTCAGTCATTATAATTGTATGCTTATAAGCGAAGTTTGTACACATTATGATTTAATGATTAAGAGTACACATACAAAAAAAAGAGCATGTAATAAGTAGCCATAGTGAGTGAACGCACCCATCGATAAATTCAAGTTTTACCACAGCTTGCAATCATGTTGTTCAAGCAATAAATAAAAAGCCACCTGGCACCCCTGTTTTTCAATACATCCGGTGAAGAGAATTGAAGACGAATAAAAGACACTTTTAATTACTCGCAGAATTATTCTTTAATTTAACACTAATCACCAGATAGTGTTACACCAGACGTCCTCCTTTTGTAGGACATGTCCTTTTTGCGTAAAAATGAAATGTCCGTCTTTATGACTGAAATGTTCTCCTTTTTTGCATTTTGTATTCTTCGCATATTACTTCTAAAGTTATTTTTTTATTTGTGATTTTTGGCGATGTTTTCTTTGTCTTATAGCGTCACACTTATGTACATTGCAGGCTTTTTTCTTTTTTAAATAATATGTTCGGAACATCTCCTGCAGACTCACGTTTCGAAGCAACAATGCATGGTATATACAGTCAGTGTCATATATAAGTGTACACCCTGTTCTAATATAATATTCAAAATTATTTTCATAACAAATTTTTTTATTTATTATTTATGAAAATATAGTTCGTTCTATAACATAAACCTATATAAAGTTCACGAAAATTCAAACAATTTTCATCAAAATTTTTATTCAGAATTTCTAGAAAATTTTCGAGCATAAAGTTTTACAACCCGTTCAATTTTTTTTTGTGGAGGGTGTTGCGCGTGATCAAATTCTATTCTTATATGGATGAAAACGCAAAAGCGTCCGCAAAAAAAATCTAAAACATCAACGGTAATTTTTAGCGACTTGAAACTTGAAACAGCGTTTTCAGAGCACTCCGAATATGGAGTGAAAAGGGACTCCCACGTTAACATCTCGAATGAGTGTTTTCTGAGCGCTCCGAATATGGAGTAAGAAGGGAGTGAAAGTGTTTTTTGTTTTCTTGTTTTTTTTTTTATCTAATTGAAAAAGAAATTCCTTAAAAGGGACGCCGCAAAAAAAGCTATTGACGTTACGGCAGTTTTAAATGTATTTAGAGGTAAACAATAATGCATACAAAATTACTTTTGTGTAACTTTAAAACTTTTCAGATGTATTTAGTAAATAATATGCAGTATCTGGCAAAGAAATTCCATAGAGCGGGCGGAAAGTGGTTGAAAACCTAAAAGGAACGCATTTTAAACAGAGAACATTTATAAATGAGAAGGCGCATTTTTGGTGTGAACTAATTGCCGACAGAAATTTTGAGGTGCGGTCGAGCAAATATACCACTCGTCGACGAAATGCACCTCTTGACACGGTGTCGGCAGAGAAATTTCGGCTGCCACCATACCAAAAATTTTTCCGTGCCACAACACTTTGACCAAATTTACCATAGTTCAAAGCAAAATGAAACAAGTAAGAAACTCTAAGTTCGGGCGGAGCCGAACATTAAATACCCGGCGCAAGTATTAAATATATGTTTTCCACCTTTCCGAAAGCTACCGCTACATGATAAGCCGGGGTGTATACATTTTAAGTAAATTAGCGTCCTTAAATTTCGAAATATTGAAATTTCAAGCCTTTCTGAAATTTATCGTTATATGGGATGTGGGCGTGGTTATTGTCCGATTTTAAAAAGTTTCGGCCATTTGGTATGCTGTACCAGGACCAATAACTGTGCCAAGTTTGGAAGAAATCGGCGCAGCGGTTGCCAAGATATACACATGTAACCATAAGTGGGCGTGGCTACGCCCATTTGCCAAAATTTTAAAATATTCTTATTTTTCGTCTACAATTCATTGTAAATATAAATTTTGAGTGAATTATCTTCAGTAGTTACTAAAATACTGCAGTTTTCGTATTTCTGAAAATTACCGTTATATGGGAGGTAGGCGTGGTTATTGTCTGATTTTAAAAATTTTCGGCCATTCGGTATGCTGTAGCAAGACTAACAACTGTGCCAAGTGTGGAAGAAATTGGTTCAGCGGTTACCAAGATATACACATGTATCCATAAGAAGGCGTGGCTACGCCCATTTTCCAAAAATGTATAATATTCTTATTCTTCGTCTAAAAATTATTGTAAATATCAATTTTGAGTGAATAATCTTCAGTAGTTACTAAAATATCGCAGTTTTCGTATTTCTGAAAATTACCGTTATATGGGAAGTAGGCGTGGTTATTTTCCGATTTTGCCCATTTTCAATACCATCCGTCCTACGCCCGAAAGAAGTGCACATACCAAGTTTCGTTAAGATATCTAAATTTTTACTCGAGTTATCGTGTGCACAGGCGGACGGACAGACGTACGGACGGACGGACGGACAGACAGTCACCGCTTAATCGATTTCTCTTTTCATTCTGATCATTTATGTATACATTTGTCTATATCTATCTCGATTCGTTTTGCCTGTTACAAACAACCGTTATGTGAACAAAGTTATAATACCCTTGTGCACAAGTGCGCTCGGGTATAAAAATGGAAGTCAGAACGACAAGTGTGTAGAAAAACGCGGGAAACGGGGAAAGGAGCGGGCTTTTGTACATTTGCTTGCTTGCCGAAAATATGATATTTGCGTCAAATCGATTTGCATTTTTCTATTTTAGCTAAGTTTATAAGATTATCTAAGGCAATATTTTGACTTTAATTTATTTATTTTTTTTTTCATATTTCAGCTAAGTTGATAAGATTTTCTTTAAGCAATGTTTTGCCTTTTTTCCACAATCGTCTAAAGTCATGTAAAATGGACCTTTTTATAAAACTATTTTATTCTAATAAAAAATTATATAATATACATATATAAATTATAAAACTATAAAATAAATGCATGCATAGAAGTTGAAATTATTCTTACTATATGTACTATGTACATGTTGTGTACATGCATATGTATGTACATTTTGTGTACATGCATATGTATGTACATACCCTGCAGGGAAAGCTACCAGTTGTGAACCAGAATGCTACCAGTTTGCGTTTCAGCCCAACTAGTTCACGTTGTATCCTATTTCAATGTTAGCGACTGGTATTTTTAACATGGCGGTGTCATACGAGATGTCAATTGTCCGCTTCTGCATCAGCACGATACCAGTAGAAATACTAGTAGCATCATACCAGTTGACGGGATAGACTGCCTATTCATCCCCCGTGAAAAGCAAAAATATGTCATTTTGTTCGCGGCGCTGCAACAGTGGCAATGGTCGACAGAGTAAAGCTTTGGTACGCCAAATCAAGAGATCCGAGTTCGAATCTTAGTGAGCGAATCTTTTTTTTTATTTTTTTATTTATATCTCTTGTGTAATTTTTAAATTTATTGTTTTAAAGAGAACAAAAAATTATTTATTTTCATTTTTTTATGGTATTTGAATATTTAGGCTTTTTCCAAATCAAATTTAATTTAGGTACAATTTTTATTTTATATTTAAATTGAAATATATTGAAATAATTATAATTATTTAAATTAATTTACTTACTTTACTTTAACAACCTCCACGCGCACTCGAACCTGTAATCTCAGAATCAGAATCGGTAGTATTCACTCGACGCCACAGTCGACATTTGTTATGAAAGCAATTAACCATGTTTTAGTTTTCGTTATGCCTATTCAAAGACAGATGTCGCTGATAGCATAAGCTTGTGGCAGCACTGCACGCCACCTAGGTGTCAAGTAAACAAAACATCAGCTGTCAACTTCGCGGTTTTGACGTTTTTGCCATGTTGTCATTCCTGGCGTTCGATTCGTTGAAGTAGCAACCTACAGGTTTTTTGTGAAATCATATTAGATATTAGTTTTCCTTTTTGCTGTATTAAATAATAGTGAATAAAGTCATTTGTTAGACATTATAAACACTAAAGTGGTGACCCCGTTCACGGCAACAAAGGAATTTACGTAATTTCGTGTATTTGCTTGCTACATTTGCTGTTGCAAAGTCTTACGTATAAATTGTTGCAACGAAATTCGGCGAACATTCGTGGAATCAACGACGCTTGCATTTTCTTCGAATCGCTTCGCATCCACGGCATGCCGAACGACCGTTACGACTTACGAAATTCAAAAAAGTCAGATTCTAGCGAAGAGGATTTGTTTCACGACAGCGTAATGAGCGACGAGGTAAAAGACCAACTGCAGATGGTGCAAAATAGCATCGAAGTTTTGCAAAATGCAATTATTCCAGTTAGTTCACGTGCAAGTTGGTAACGTATGCATGTTTCTAGCTTCAACAAACAAAATCCGCAGCTATGGTTTGCTCAACTGGAGCGAGCATTTCGACTCAGTGATATCACATCAGATATCGATAAATTCGACTGGGTTACGATTCATCTGGAGCACGATATTTTGTTAACTGTCGAAGATCTTATAACACAGCCGCCCGCAGATAATCGCTACAATATTCTCAAAGGCAGGCTCCTGGCAAAATATTCTGAATCGGCGGAAAGTAAGCTGCGTCGCCTGCTGCAAGGTGGAGACACTGCTGGAATGAAGCCGTCTGAAATTTTATCGCACATGAAACGACTCGCACCTGACCCGGGGAGTGCCGCAGTCATACGAACATTGTTTTTGGGACAAATGCCTAGTTCGGTTCGACCTCTGTTGACTGTGTGGAAAGAGGATAACCTCGAGCAGCTAGCGCAAATCGCTGACAAAATGTTGGAAGCGGTTAACTCGAACTCCATCAACATGATAGCTACACACGGGGCTGAGTTGTATGCTCAAGCCCCCACAGTTAATGCCATAGCTAACGAGAATACCCCATTAACAGAAATCGCTAGCACACTCAAATCACTTGCCGTTGCTGTTAAACAACTTCAAAGTGATGTCAAAATTTTGAAACGAAATCCATCTCAACGATCATCATCCAAGGGTCGTTCTCCTAGCCGTAATACACCAAGTACTAGTGACCAAGCTGAAGCTGCTCATGTATGTTTTTTTCATTCAAAATTTGGCGACAAAGCACGTAAATGTTGCCAGTCACGCTGGGGGGCAGCAGCTCCATTACACCCAGCAGCCAATCAAACCAAAACGACAATTCTTTTCGGGAAACAAGACTACATATTTACGATCGCCTCAATCGTTTTCAGTTCCTCGTGGATTCGGGCTCAGTGGTTTCTGTCATTCCACGTAACTTCGTCAAGACGGCAGTTAAATCAAAATCACTTCAACTCTATGCAGCTAATCAAACAGCAATTCAGACCTACGGAAACCATGTGTTACAACTGGAGCTGGAATTGCGACGAGCATTTAGTTTGGCATTTAGTTAGCCGACACACACACAGCTATTATCGGTGCTGATTTTTTGGCACGATACAATTTATTGATTGACTTGAATCAACAGCAACTCATCGACAAAACCACTGGCCTAACTACAAGCGGCAAGTTGTCAGACACCAACGAGTTCGGCATTTCCACGATAAACGATGCCAACGATTTTAGAGGTCTACTGACACAATTTGTTGACATAACTAAAACAACACGTAAGTCTAACGAAGTAGAGAGTAGTCATTCTGTTATGCATTATATACAGACAAAAGGCGCTCCTATCGCCGACCGCGCTCGACGCCTAGCTGGTGGCAAACTTGTTTGTGCCAAACGTGAAATAAATTTTCTCCTCGATCAAGGTATTTGTCGTCCTTCAAAAAGCCCGTGGGCTAGTCCCCTAAATATGGTGGAGAAAAAGACTGGCGGATGGCGCGCATGCGGCGACTACCGAAAATTAAATGCAGTCACCGTTCCTGATCGTTACCCGATTTCCCACATCCCTATTTTTCGGAAAAACTGCATGGTAAACGAATCTTTTCTACAATCGATTTGGTCCGTGCATACTACCACATCCCGATGGCTAAGCCCGACATCGAAAAAACTGCTGTTTGTACACCATTCGGATTGTTTGAATTCGTTCGCATGCCGTTTGGTTTAAAGAACGCAACGCAGACTTTCCAGCGGTTCATGGACAGCATATTCAAAGATATCGACTTTGTTTATATATACATAGACGACATTCTCGTCATGTCGAACTCGGCAAACGAACACGAAGAGCATCTTCGTGAAGTGTTTTCAGTTCTGCAGCAACATGGCTTGACTATCAACGCCAACAAGTGTCACTTCGGCAAACACGAGGTGGTATTTCTGGGTTACGTCATCAACAGCGATGGACTACGTCCGCCCAACGAACGCATAGAAGCTATCAAAACTTTTAAGCCACCAGACACAGTCTGCGAACTCAGTCGGTTCCTTGGTTTTATAAATTATTACCGAAGATGCATTCCTCATGCTTCGGAACTACAATCTCGGCTGAATGAATACACGCGCGGCATGCGAAAAAACGACAGACGCAAAGTAAACTGGTCCTCCGAGACACTTAAGGTATTTGAGGATTGCAAACGCAGCTTAGCTAATGCTACAATGCTTGCACACCCGGCCCCTGAAGCCAAGTTAGCATTGGTGTGTGACGCGTCCGACGCAGCAATCGGCGCAGCATTAGAGCAAAAATACATCGACACAACTCCTTCGTTCCAGAGAGAATCGACATGCCAGATAATAGATTCGATCATGTCCATCTAGATATTGTGGTCATGCCACAAGTTAATAGCTACCGCTATTGCTTGACCATGATCGACAGGTTTTCTCGATGGCCGGAAGCCATTCCACTTCAGGACATATCTGCAACCACAGTCATCAATGCGTTTTGGGCAAATTGGGTTTCCAGATTCGGCTGTCCTAAGACGATAACGACAGATCAGGGGACTCAATTTGAGTCGGCTCTTTTCGAAGCCCTCGTAAAGATGATCGGCTGTCGACACATTCGTACAACTGCCTATCATCCCCAGTCGAATGGGATGGTAGAGCGCTGGCATCGCTCATTCAAATCTGCACTGATGTGTGACCCTGCGACGTCGTGGCCAGATTTGTTACCGACTGTTCTACTTGGACTACGAACATGCTATAAAGAAGATCTAGGAGCATCAACATCAGATATGTTGTACGGCGGTCCAATCAGACTTCCAAATGAATTTCTCGAAGATTTGGACAAACCAAACAATCCAAATGCGTTTCTTGAGAAACACCGGGAGCACATGAAGAACATACGGCCAGTTCCTGCTACTCATCACAGTTCCAAGAGAAGAATGTTTATACTAAAAAACCTTTACGACTGTTCACATGTGCTTGTGAGGACAGATGCTGTTCGGCAACCGTTGGAACCACCGTACACTGGCCCCTACGAGGTCATTGCTCGTACAACAGATAGAGTGTTTACTATAAAAATTAAAAACAAAGATGTAGCAATATCAACAGATAGATTGAAACCAGCTTTCGTCATTAGAGAAGATACGAATCCTGAACCGGAAAAGACTCCACGAACATACGAAAGGACACATCGTGTACGATTCCTCACTCAATCGTGACTTCGTCACTGAAGGGGGAGTCCTGTGGCAGCACTGCACGCCACCTAGGTGTCAAGTAAACAAAACATCAGCTGTCAACTTCGCGGTTTTGACGTTTTTGCCATGTTGTCATTCCTGGCGTTCGATTCGTTGAAGTAGCAACCTACAAGTTTTTTGTGAAATCATATTAGATATTAGTTTTCCTTTTTGCTGTATTAAATAATAGTGAATAAAGTCATTTGTTAGACATTATAAACACTAAAAGCTGTTCGAAATCGCCAAATGGTAGGCCGTCGCTTAAGCACATACTGGTTAATGAACTAGTATTTGTATTGGCTGGTTTGGCATTTCACTGCAGAGAACTGGTATAATTATAGTCCATGACGAACTGGTATGACTCTCCCATTTAATACCAGTTTTCGAACTAGAATTTCTACCAACTAGTTTACTTTACTAAATAATAGTTCATGAACTGGAATTTGTGCATACTAGTTTAGCTTTTCACTGCAGGGTATGTACAACTTACGGCAGCATACATGCATATGCACATAATTACACGCATCAGGGTTGCCAGTATTTTTTTAAGCAGTATCGCCAGTTTCTCAATTTAAAGTCGCCAAAATCGCCAAATTTTATTTATATTATCGCCGGATTAGTCGCCAACAAAATTCTGAGCAAAACCAAACATAAAAACTCAAATAAAATTGCAATTCAAAGACGATTTTTTTTGTAGAAGTTTATTCGCGCATAGCACAAATATTTATTATCGCAACAAAACAAAATAAAATTATTAAAAACTTGAACATGTACATTTTTATTATTTTTTAACTTCCTACTACTTCGGGTTACTTATTATTACCTGTTCTGTATTAATTACTTATACAAATACAAGGAAAATCAATATTAGTTACAGTTTCAAACGTATCGCCCGTTTCTCTTTGTTTAAATTTTTCTTCCTCTGTATTTATCTTAGGATTATTTATGTCATACTTAAAATTCTTAATCATCCTGTTCGATGGATGGAATTTATCGCAACATATATTTCTTTCATACACGGTCAAAAATTTGGGTTTAATTTTTAAACCGCGCTGGGACTACTGCCTTTTTTAAACTTTTATAGTCTACTTTTTAAACCAGTCAATAGTTTTACGCAATTTTTAATATTTTCTGGTTTAAATTTTAGCCCAAAAAGTTCGTGGTTTAAAAATCAAACCAAAATGTTTTAATTCTAGTTTCTAGGTTTCATATATAGAAAATTTGGTTTAAAATCTAAACCGAAATAGAATATGTTTGCACAGCGAATTGTGGTGTTGATTCAAACTCAACATATGAAAGCACATTTACATGCGTGGCTGTAGTTGAGTGTGCAAAGATGCTTGATACAATTGGTTGCTACCAAGGCAGTCCGGGTTCAATCCCAACCAGACGGAGCATGAAATTTAAGATTGTTTTTTTTTGTATTCTTAATTATGAAAATGTTTGGGTTTAACATTTAAACCGAATTGTTTAAATTCTAAACCCAACATATGTGCTCTCTTTTTTTTAAACTTGGAAGGTTTGTATTTGAAACTGAATTTAGTTTGGTCATATATGTAGTCCAAAAAGTTTAAAATTAAAACCGAAATTTTTAACCGTGTAGAAATAAAGGCGCGTACGTAGCAACGAATTTAACATTTTGATTTGCAATTTATTTCGCGCTTGAGTGATGGCATTTAATACAGAGAATGTTCTCTCGACATGAGCGTTGCTTGTAGGAAGGCTCAATATTTTCAAAGCATAGGATGACAACTCCTTGAACACGGGCAGACCGGCAGCATTTTCATACTGATGCACTATCGGCCAAAAA